TGGACATCAGGGTGAAAAATATAAATGAAAAATGTAGAATATGGGCCCTTTAAGCCAAACGTTGTGACATAACTTAAAAAAATTACAAGATCTGCAGCTATCACTCTGTTACAACATGGCCAAATCGAACAACACAAGCCTCACCAGGCCCTGAGGTGATTGTTTCTTACGATAAGAGTGTTTCTAACAAAGCTGCCATTGCAGTCTTAGCTCAGGAGCCCAGTACGACTGGAGCTGCTTGTCAATCAGGCTATTGTCGGCGTGCGTAAAGCTGCAGACAATGGCTCTTTGTCTCTGGGCTGGAGTGGACGACCGGGCCCTGCCATGACCACAAGAAGCCCTTCTCTGTTTGCTGAGAATAAATCAATCTTTTGAGCCTTTGGTAAACCACACACCCCACTGTCACAAGGCAAGAGGAGCAAATCTGAGCAAAAGCAGACGGACACTCACTCACCCACTCACTCGCTCATTCACTCACTCTCTCACTCGCTCATGCACCTGCTTCTGCTGTGATTCCAGCGCTTTTCACCTTGGCCAGGAGCAGGCGTGGCCCTGCACAGCACTACGTAGCACTTTGTAACACAAAAAATATTACATGAAGGAAACATGGCTACTTTGAAATGTGAACACGCTGCTTGGAGTTTCAAGCTGTCTGACATTAAATCAAATCCAAAATTCTTTTGCATATTGGTGCTTTTGTGTCAAAACTTAACATTTATATATTTTACAACTTTATGTGAATATTTCATACTAAATGGACCAATGTAAACGGTCCAAAATTACTTAGAATAAAATCTCATTTTTAAATTTTATTTTGTTTTATTTATTTTTTAATTTACTTTATATTTTACGTCAAACCAGATAAAACCAAATAAAATTTGCTTATCCATCCCTCGAACATTAAAGGGCCCATATCATAGAAAATGATGTATGTATGTAAAAATGGTTGGTCCAAATAGAATAAAAATAAAAACATAATAAAATAAAATATGGTAAAACGTTGTTCAAGAGTTACAGCATATTGTATTCTAATTGCATTTTGACTTTTTTTAACTTTTTTTTTATTATTTAACTCAAATAAATATAAATTGCACTATAATTTTCAATAACAAATTGCATATTAAAGTTTGTCCCTTTTGAAGACGGCTTAACTTATTTTCAGTTAGAACGTGTAATTTGAAAGGCATCACTAAGATCTAAGGCCTAAACAGGCATCACACAAGGATCTTTGCAAAAAAAATGAAATAATGAAATACAACAAAAATGTAGGATATGGGCCCTTTGAGTTCTCTGCTGATATTTTTGACCTGGTATTTTTGTATAGTGTAGTGGGCAGCAGTGTGGGCCAATGAAAGTGTGTCCTATTGCCTGTAAGTGTGTGCGTGTGTGTGCGTAAAAGTGTGTGCACACAGTCAGAGAAGCGTAGTTACGGCATTGTTCTCTCCCCCACCCCCAGCGCAGCCGAGCTGCTTCAGCTGCAGACACGGGGAGGGCTCTGGGCCTCTCCCTCCTCTTAAGTTAACAGGCCAAGGTCAGAGGTCAGTGCAGGAGAAAGGTTGTGAGTAACATGCCCTGAGAGTAGAGAGAAAGATAGGAGAGGAATATTGTGGAAGAGAGAGATAAGCAGAGTTTTTTTCGCCTTTGCCGTATTGCATTTTTTTGTTTTGTTTTTATCTGCTTTGTCAAAGATAAACAAATAAACAACACGCATCCGACCCACAGTGAGAGGGAGAGAAAGAGGGAGAGAGAGAGAGAGGGATATAAAAAAGAGAGAGCCAGCTGTTACCATTGCATCTCAGTGTGAGATGAGTGAAAGCTCATTAAACTTCAAAGATCAAACAGAGGCAGGCAGTGACAAGAGAGCCTTTGTGGAGGAGATGTAATATGTGTGCTGAAGAAGGGAGAGGACAGGAGAAGAGAGGTGGAACAAATCAAATCCCCAGCTGGGAGAAAAAAAGTCATACCATCCATTTAAACGAAGACATTGATGGCAAAAAACTGCACAGGGGCCACATAACCAAATTCAAGTTTATGATAAGGATATTTTGGAGCTGTACACTATTGTTTGGAGGCTGGTTTAAAATGAGACTAAATGGTTAGAAAGTCTTTGCTTTGCAAATGGCATTAAATGAGTAATAATAGTCACCCAGGATTGAGGTGGACAATATGATGATATCTTATTGTGATCAAATTTTTGTTATCATAATAAAAGATATGAATTTCTGAGCATATTGTGGACATTGTTTTTACTTAGAAAAACACTGAACAACTGCATGTTTACTTGCAAAGAAAGGACTATTAGACTTGTTTAACTGGATTTAGCGCAGTACAGAAAGTAAAACACTGTATTATTTGTTTTGTTGTTATTGTACCCAGAGTTTTTGATGGCTGTTTTTAAATGTGGCAATACTAATGCATTGTGTCAAAATATCATGATACATATTGTGGATCGTAAACATATCTTTAAGTATCATGATATGATATTTTTGCCATATCGCCCATCCCTAGGTGTAATAATACACAGACTTTAATTCGATACAATACAATATGTGGTGTCTAAATTTGATGCATGTTTAAATACAGCAAAAATAAGATGTGGCTGAAAATGTGCCTTAAGCTAATATGTTAAAGTTTTAGAGTTAGGCTTGATATTGTCCCAATCTAACGGTCTAGCTGCAAGCTAATATGCTAGTCATGATGCAATACAATACGCTTCAATACAATTTAATAAAATACAATACTTTATATGGTTACATCTCTACAGGATTCACAGGGAAAAAATGCTGCCTAACTGCTCCTGATTTAAAAGTGCATTTCAAACAATGTAAAAATGTCTTTTGTGTCTCTATAAAACAGAAATGCTCTTTTGAATGATAGCTGCATGACCATCAGACCCAGCAGTATGAATTTTAATCTTTGCGTTGCTTGTATTTTGTAATTATAGGTCATGGGATGCTTTCACATTACACAGCAAATTCTTTCTAAGCAAGTAATAGAAACATTGCTTTGCCATTTAACCTAGAGCACAGGGAACAATGCACTGGCAGCTGAATGTATCGCTTGGAGCAAAAGGAAACATCTGCACTGCCCTCTAGTGGTCTACAAGGCATAATGCCAGAGAACTGAAGCACATCCGTCACAGCAGAGCAAAAAGGCCACGTCCTTACAGCCCATTTACAACGACTCAACAAGTATGACAACCTATCCATGTCATACAAACTGACCAAATCACTCTGCATTACAGCACTGTCTTTGTCTCTGTGGGAGGTATACAGTACACACCCTGTGTGTGTGGAAAACAAACAGCAGGCAGAGCATGGGCTCTGGACTGTTCCACATGCTACACAGCTAATGGGGCGCAGAGATACAGCTAATAGACCACTCACAGGCAATCCACACCCAGGAGCTCTCTCCATGGGAACCAACAGACTCTGGAAATCTGCTCATTTCCATCAGCTTTGCCAACAAAAACTCAAAATGGTGATGTTTTAGACGTTATAGGGTGGGCCGAACAAGTACAGCTTGTTTTAAACAAGGAGAAAGTGTAATTGTTCTGAGCAGAGAATCAGGTGATTGAGGACATTAGTAGACTACTGAGACTATTCACACAGCGTTGGATTTAATTAGGCACTAACAGCAGATAATCAGGTACTAACTGCTGGTGATAACACCAAGCTAAAGTGTAACCTTTAAGTACATTGTGGCACACTAACCAAGACGAGACAAAGAATATGTCACAGTGTAACAGGACAGTACACTTTTAAAAATTAATCTTACAGAATGGACATTTTCCACACCTCCAAAGTTCTTTGACATTTTTCAGAAAGAACTGCAAGTGTTGTAGCACCTTTACATTATGTGGAGGTTATTTAGTTAAAAAAAAAGGTTCTGTAGTTAATTAAAAGTGGCTCCTTTGGTATCGCTCAGAAGAACCATTTATTTTTACGATATCAAACCCTGACAGTCAGAACTGCAGACAATTGATAGCACCTAGATTTATTATGTACTAATTGCAGATGAAGTATAAATGCTAATGATAAAATTTGTAAAATATACATGGTGGCATACTAACTTAAAAGAGACACAATACACAGTACTGCGCAAAATCAGAGAGCACCCTTCATTTATTTAATTTCCAGTTAAAACAGCTATTAGCCTAATACAAGGTATTCATCTTTTAGTATAAGGAAAAACATATATTTGACAGAAAATTATACAGAAGCCTCAACAACCAAATATAATTTTTTCAGTATTTAGTGTGTCCACCTTTACTCTTATTACAGCTTCCCTCTTTATGGAAACTTGCTTTCATTTTTTTCAAAGAAATCTGCAAAGATATTTTCCACACCTCCAAAGTTCAGTCTTAGACGTTTGTTGCATTTTCTGCTTCTCATGATCCAAGTAATCCCAAGCACACTCAGGTCTGGGCTCTCTTACCCCACATCTCAGATGTCCTGTTTCGGTGTTCTAGTGCAAGTGTTCTTCTTTTTGATCTATTTCCTTTTCTCAGCTTCTTTACAGCTACACATCCTTTCAGACCCATAGTGTTGTCTTCTCACAGTGGAAGGATGGAAGAAAAACCTATGTGCTTTTTCAGATTAGAGCTTGATTTTCTCCTCTTTCTCAAAGACAAACACTTTAAGTACTGTTTATCTGACAGGGACAGTTTTGGTGGTCTACCAGGTCTTGCACAGTTGTTAGGAGTTTTCTCTGTACATTTTAATCATTTTTTGAACTCCAGTTCAGTTTTTACTTTCCAACTTCAAAGGCTGTTTTGACTCGAAATTAAATAAATGAAGGATTCTCTAACATTTGCACAGTACTGTGTTAACTGAAATTACAGTATTAAACCCAGTGTCAATAAATCAGACTAATCAACTTCACTGCTGCATAAGACTCGTGTTTGTCATGTTTGCTGGAAGGAAATGTTCTTTCTGGGACACAGGCCATGTGGCGCACATCGGATATATGTATGTATGTGGTTTTGTGCTCCTACTCACTGCGACACATGAGTGACAGGCAGGATAAGGCTGTCCTTCTCTGGCTCCAGCTCCAGATCATCCGCAAAACTGCTGTTCCTCTGCAGTGGGGGAGGGGACTGGATCTCCAAAAGCCCTGGGCTTTTCTTTACTACAAACACACACACATACTCAAAGTCACCTTCAACCTTCAAGGAGATAGCTTGGTGTGCCAAACAACTCTCTGCAAACTGCATGCGAGCAATATATACCATGAACATACCATGCAGAAATTCGTCTATTAGGAAAAAACCTAAGAACCTTGATGTATTATTTCTGTTTATTGTTGCTGTCATATCAAAACCTCATACACCTCAGGCACCATTTGAAAAAATATCAGCTGAGCATTTTGAGATTAATGAACCAAGAGAAATGGTCTAGAATTAAAATGAAAATCTCTTTACATTAATGCATATTGAAGCTGAAAATCGTTTTGCCTCTCCTGTAAAGTTACCCCTTAAATACAAGGTTTTGCTATGACAGTCACATTATGCTATTAACATTGCTGTTATAAAATCATAGTGCAAGAAAAAAGAGTGAAAGGGCATAAGTGACATTACTTCACCATTTCCAGTCCCAAACAAAACCTCATAATGGGAGGAACGTGTTACAACTAAGTATTTCCTCCCTCTCCCTGTTATTTTAGTGCTCTTTAGGTTGGGGTTAAGCAGGCCTAATAGCTAAGATCAGGTTACCTGGAGGAGGGGAGAACTGGAAGGAAGATATAGAGGTCCAGGACTGTTGCCGTTCTACGAGGGGAGGGAGTAATGCACGTTATCTCTTCTGTTTTACCTAAACTATTCACCATATCATTCCACAGAGTTTACTCCAGATGCAAATTTCAAACATTTTATCAGAACATGCTGCCAAATGAATAGGGATGGAAAATATTCAAATATAGAAATTCACCATTAACCAAATACAACGACAGAGCACATGAGAAAAAGCCCCCAAAGAACCTTGACAGTGTTCGGTAATAGGAGTGGTTTATTATGCAGAGGCATGCAGCAGTAGACACTAACAGCAGCTCACCAAATCTTCTCAGAGTGTTTGCTTCTGTCATGAGCAGAGATCAGAAGGAAAGAAGTGAGCCAGGAAAACAAATCATCAGTACACAGAAATCAGTATAACTCCCAAAGCAATTCACAGACAATTATGGTGAAAGCAGAACAAAGAGTTCTGAGATGCCAGAAGGGAAAATGTGATGATCAGAGCAGAACCTGTCTGTTTAGTAAGGTACCGATAGTACCTGACAATTCAGTACTGTATACTGTGTCCTGACTGGGGTCTCTACCATCGTCAAAGTCATAGGTAATGGTGGGGATTGTGGGAGAACTTGGGCCATTATCTTTCTCATTGGTCTTCATCTTTCTCCTCATCTTCACCTAACAAAACAAAAAGAAGCATACCTACGTTAAAGGATTTTTTTGACTGCAAATGTAGCTGCTGAAATAAAGAAAAGACGTGTGTATCCAAAGCAAGTGCATGCAGAGTTTTAGACTACAAAAAAAAACTGAAAAATGAGTTTGGTTGCACACAAAGAAAATGTTACATCAACACAATTGCTTTCCTTACATTGAATTGTTTTGACAATTATTATATTCAGGCAAAAAAATGTATTCATGTGCAACCACACATTTTCAGTATAGTAGGCAAAAGGAATTAAACGCCACATTTCAATTTATTATTTTTTTTCAATCTTTGTAGTTATCTCTTATTGTGCTTTCAAGTACTGAACCATGACCATGTAGCTTGACGATAGGCGAAGTAGACAGATTTCTTTGGTCAGTGTTTTTAAATGCATTTTATTTTCTTTTGTACACTATTTTCATCCCTTACACTAAATACATGCTTGTAATATGGCATAAGCAAGGCTGAGTTAGTGCTGAATCAGAGGACACAGATCACTTGATAGCGATATATAAAGTAAAACTTGAAGAGTTAAAAATGTAACAGTATGCCCAGCTGGACTTATAGGGTTAAATGAATCTGCCCTACTCACTGATTTCTTGGGCTTAGGACTGGAAGCTGTGAGGCTAACTGTTATGGGTCTCTTTCGCACAAACATCTTATAGGTGGAAGAGTCAGGATTCTCTATGGCAAAGCACCTCCAGGACGTCTGAATCACATTGGGATAAATAGCAAAATCAAAGGAGTTCAACCTGAAAATAGCACACACATACTAAGTGAAACAAAAACTGTAGACAACGATGCATTGATCTCAACTCAAACTGACCTGTATAAGACAAGCAGCAGCAGGGATTTGCCTGTTGAAGTGTTTCTGCCTCTGCTTCTGCTGAACTTTCAGGGCAAAGCCTGAACCCAGGATGCCCTGAAGAAAATGTTCATCTTTATCATTGTCAAGGACTTTGTGAGGGAAATATGAAATCTGTTGAGGGTCCCAAAGCTAGAGACTATGACTTACAGCAGGCAGAGCAAAAAAGGAGATGGCGAAGACAGAGAAACAGGAACCAATGGTCTTCCCTATCCAGGTTTGTGGCACCTTATCTCCGTAACCAATAGTGGTGACCGTCACCTAAAACATGAAAAGAAAGTATGAGGATAATTTTGACAAGACACACATTTTAAATCCCAAAGCTTTAGAAACTTTGAATGCACTGTCCCAAATGTGAAATGTGAAAGTATCTTCTGGTGCACATTTAAGTTACTGATCTCAACAGGCAAGCGTTTTATTTTTTTGCAAATGTCTCTTTAGGGGCTCATTAAACTCCAAATTTTATGAGATGTGTCTAGACTATGAAGGGTGCTTACCACTCCCCACCACAGTGCATCAGCATAGCTGGAAAACTCTGTGACTCCACTGCTATCGACTGCATCTTTTTCCGCCAGGTACACAAAATAGGAGGAGAAGATGAGGGCCAAGAATCCGATATAGAGAGTAGTGATCAACTCCTGGAAGGATACACTAATTATAAAAGACACTGTTGTGGACCTCCCTTAGTTTGTCTCTCAGTGGGTGTGTAATAAGGCATGTAAACGGTTGATCAGAGAAGTTCCTTGCCTGTCGGTGGATGAAAACCACTGAGCCCAGGAGCCGCCAGGTTCCTCCCTGCCGATCCACATGCAACATTCGCAGAATCTGCAGGAAGCGGATTCCTCTGGGCCAAAACAAGTATAAAGGCACAGCGTCAGTCCAAGAATGAAGCAAAATAAACAAAATCTAAGACGAATTATACTTTGAACACAATTGGATCCTCATTACCTGACAGCAGAGGTAGCAAACACTTGCCCATTAGAGCCTACTGAAAGCACAATGACTGAGGCCACCACCACAATTAAGTCTGTGGGTACAAACACAAAGAAAAGACTGCTGGAAATGTCATCAGTGACAACTGAACAAAACATAAAAACTGCAGTCAAGGCAAATTTTCACGCAATGGAAAAATGGTTTCAGACTTCAGTTCCTCACTTTCAAAACTACACCACCTACAAATTAGATTCATAGTAGTTACTGAATAAAGATTCTTAAGATTCATAATTGATTAATAAACCTGCAGTTTAAGGGGTTAACATATTTTAACTCATTGACCATGGCCTCACCAATAATAGAGATGGGCTTTCTAGCAAAGCGAAGTCTTCCCAGTATACCCACGTATTTGCTGCGGCATCCTGCTGACCACAGCCTCACCACATACTCCACTCCAAAGAACACCACCAGCACTATTTCCTGGCAGGGAGAGACAGACAGGTTCCCATCTATACCGAGCTTAAACAAAAGTGGTTTTCATGTCTTGACAATGGGGATCACTTATGGTGTTCATTTAAATTGCACTGAATTATGGTAAAGTGTGGTCACTCATTTCAGTAACCATGGTCGCCTGCTGCAAATAAAGGTAAACAGTACAGTTTTATTGTATGGCAAAACAGACTGTTTTTCACAGTAGGCCTAGTTTGTGGTTATCTATAAAATTCTCTAGAGGATTAGCCCATTCAAATCCATTACAAAGGTATTTTCAAGGTAAAGACCTATATTGTCCTCTCTTCTGCACCCAACTCTCTAACTGAGATTCAAGATTATGCAGAATTGACTACATAGCTGTTTTATGATCCAGGGGATGGTTTAAGTGATGTACAAAAATATATATAATTATCCCGGCCAAGGTTTACGCACTGGAAAAAAATAATATAATTAACTATGACTCAACTTACATGAGGTTTAGATATAGTTTAATTAAAAACTTGAAAAAGCATTTAAGAGCAGGCTGTGTTTAATAGAGCCATACTACCACGCATGCAGAGATGACAGGCGTCATGTGGCAACACAGGGAGGCTGGTTCATGGTCACGGCCAACAACAGCAGTTGCCCTTGTCTCGCTCTTTAACAGAGGCACACAAAGGGAGGCTCAGAGTCTGCCCAATCCAGCCCCATTGAGAGCCGTGAGGAACCAGACAAGTATGAGTTATGAGGCTGGCTGTGGAGCCCTCTGTCCTGTGAGCAGTCTGGAGGGTTAGGCAGCCTGGGAAAGGGGCAGCTCCTGGCACTGGGCAGACGGGCAACTTGTCCAACTGTCCCCTTAGAATGGAGTAAAACAACAGGATCAGGCCAGGCCTGCTGCACTTAGGCAGGGGGTGAGGGTTACAACAGGACTGATGGGGGTAAGGCGGAGTTGACCAGAAGGCAAACAGAGACAGAGGTGAGCCGCATAGGGGTGAAGGAGCTCTCATACCAGGACAGCAACACTGAAAAGCTGTTTAAATGACAACTTCTCATTAGGGCTGAACAATACAATAAAATATTTAGGCCTATTTTTGCCTTGACAACTAAACAAAGAATTTGAAAACATTGGGTTAAAATGTTCTTGTTCTATCCTAAAATCTATTCTAATAAAAACCTAGTTTTGTTATTTATCTAAAAATCACAAGACACTGCACAAAAAACACATATTCTTTAGCTTATAAGGAGCTCAGCTTCAGCTTCTGTGTCTTTGAGTCCATTTTTACAGTGTGAGGAAAAAATCATGGAAGATACTAAATACACCCACTGCGTATGAATGCCCACCGTGCATTGTGTGAACAGCAGAGTTGAGCCAAAGCGCTAAATGGAACTGCTGTCAATAGAGCAGTCTGCAGGTATTGAGAATCTCAATGTAGTCTGAAATATTAATAAAAAGGCTCAAAAGGCTTTCAGAATTGTTTTTATCTGTTTTATTTTGTGCAAACCTGGCTAGGCAGGAAGCCGGCATGGTTGAGGTACTATTAACAATGATTTATTTTATTTGTTTAAAGCTTTATAGTGAGAAAATGTACTGAATGAAACAAGTAAGACTCAAAAGCTCCCCACTATTCACTTATGAATTTAAATTTTAATCTGACTTAATGTTGCAGCTTTTTCAGTTCTACTAAAGGCAGTATTATATTGACATCAAATATGGTACTCAGCTATATTTCATCAACAGCATTAACAGCATTATAGACATTGTTCTTTAGCTATCTTGTAAGAGCTGTGCATTCAGTAAATTGCTTAAAGTTCACCTATATTTATTAATGCTGTATTTCTGATCAATCAAAACAGTAGTCTTAAATAACAATGGTATATTATCCTGATGATACATTTATTAACTGATGTTGATAAATGATAGTGTTCATGGAACAACAGCCCATGTCTGAACAAAACATAACATAATTTATGTAAGTTCGCTTTTGCCTATAAAGACACTATATATATAGAATTGCAATAACAAAAGGAAAAGTACATTGTGCACCCTATTTGCCATCACTCAGGACAACTCATGTTTCAAGACATATATGTAGCTCTACAGAATATAACAGTAATCTGTGATTTTTTTTTTTTCATTTTGCAAATAAAAGAATTTAACTCATTTTTCTTTTAAGCCTGTGACAGACACCAAAACAAACAAAGGCCAAATACAACTATGAGGACATCACACAATTGAAAGGAAATTAGTTTTCTACACATCTTCCTACTCTGTGTCAGGACAAGAGATGCTCATGCCTGGATAAAAAATGATGCCCAAGCAAACGTCAAAGAACAAATTATTAAAGTGCACCTATTCAGTGGTGAGACATCTCAGCCTGCCTCATTTGTCCCAGTGCTCAGTATCTAATTAAATCTAGGCTGCTGACCACACTGACCAGCTGTCATGTAAAAGGTCTGGGTGGACGACCAGTGGGCGCCAGGGGCCATGAGAGTAGCTCATGGGGAGACAGAGGAAATGAGACCCCAGATGCAAGGCCTCTCCCCGTTACCGTGGCAATAGGATTTCCCATCCAAAATGCAGCTGGAATGTGATCACCAAGGCGAGTAAAGGAAGGCGTCACCGTAGCAACACAAGGTGGCTGGTGTGGGCCAGCTGACCTATCAGCAACATCTCGTAAGGTTACATTACGTATCCATGAAAAAATAACTTCCAGCATGAGCCCAGCAAAATCAATGAGTTCACTTAATTGACTGACATAAAACACCACAATTAATCTGATGATTCAGCAAGTAAATGTTGTTTGCTTTTCTTTGTCAAAAATAAATAAAAGTACCATGTTGGAAACTGTTGATAATTTCAGAAGTTACAGTTATCAGCAGTGCTGAAAAGAAGTATGGTGCAAGTAGATATGAATTATTCTCACTTGTAGCTTATTGAAACTGTTTAAAGTGCAGACTCAAAACCTTCAATCTATACCACATTTGTGTTTGTAAATAAAACCAGCCATATTATGCTCTGAATTTGATGCAACATTGTTGAAAGAAAAAAACAACCTTTAGAGAAAATCGTCTATATATCTGCCATCATTTCTAGACATCAAAACAAACCGAAAACATCAGAAATCCATCAGAGAAGTGTAAAGTGAATGTATTTCACTGCAAATTTAAACTATAAATACATTTATATACATATACATATATACATATAAAATTTATATATATATATATTTTATATATATATATATAAATATAAATATATACATATTTATATACATATAAAAACATAAATACATTTTCATAGCACAACAAAACAACTCTTAAAAAGGAGCACTATTTAATATTTTAAAGAATCTTGTTAGTATTAACTAAATGCAACTAACAGCTTGTGTAGGTGTCAACCTCAAGAAACAGTTACCCTTATTTTCACAGCTTCCAAAGTACATAAATTCACTGATACTCATTAGAACATTTCTGCCATGAAATTCCTCAGCAACAACAGGAGTTCAACCCATTTTGAATTTTTTAACACTGATAAAAATCTTCTAGTAATCATAATAATTACACCCTACAGATTCTGAAACTGAATTTTTTTTTTACTTTATTGAACAGTTAAACAACTAAACAGCCTCTCACACCATCAAATAAACACACAAACACAAAGAGTCAGAGAGAGAGCGAGAGCAGAGTCGGGCTGTGTTGTGAGATGAACTGACAGGACAAACTGTCTCTGTCTATGTGACGTCACCTGTAAAATAAGATTGAGGGGTAAATGTATCTTTTCTAATGCATTTATGTGCTTTGATAATGGTGATCTATTTTGTTAATCTGCGCTGCACGCAACAAAAGAACATCACATAAATTGGCATGTCTGGGCTCCACCCAAGTCTAATCACATGCCTTTTTAAACTAAAAGATCTAATAAAAAAAAAAAAATAGAAAAATAATTTGACTGGATTTTTGTCAGGATGTTAACTGGCCAAAGTTTATGAAGAAAACTGTATTAGACTAGATTCCCCTTATCCCAGTCTTATATATCTATATACCTCCAAAATTGTGAAAAACATCTTATTTGCATAAAAGAAAAAAATAGGTTTATATGTGCTTGGGACTGCATGATCACCTTTTAATGTATGGTGCTGCAGCTTGAAATAATTCACAGAACTTTGGAGCACTTTGGATATAAAAACAGGAGAAGCGGTGAGGTGATAAATGTTAATTTACTTAAATAAAAAAAAAAATTCCAACAATAAAATTACTCTAAAAACAACTTAACTACATGTTTCCGGAATGTAAGGCAACCGTAGCTGAAACCCTTTATCACTGTAAGAATTCCTCATGACAGCAAACAATGGAAAGGCATGTGTCACTGAAGAGGGGGAGGGGTGAGTGCTGGGTAAAAGGCCTTATCACTGAGGTGAAATATGGCAGTGTTTAAGGTGATTCCTAACGCCCTCTGTAACCCAGGGTTAGGAATATTCAAAACCTCCAGGGGTTAGGAAGTCCTTTCACCTCCTAATAGCGAATGTCCTTTAGTCATGTAAACAGACGCTGCTTATGCCTAATTGGTGTTTTGTTCATAAAGATGTATCTTTTGGAAAGGCAAAGGGTGCTGGATAATGTTTAGTTTCTCTTCGGTTGAATTACAATCAAGGTCAATTGTATGGCTAGAATTCCTCTTTGGCGAGGAGTAAAACATTACCGTAGGCGGCCTAAACACAGCCACCAACGCTTATTACATATTCATGGATGTTTTACACTGGAAGTGCTTCATCATTATTGAGGCTTTTAAAGGGTTACAGCTTTATAGCTGTCCTTTTGGAGGGTTCTCTGAACACAAAGCTTTCACTTACAGAGCCACGGCCATCTGCTTGCTGACTAATTTAAGGGTTTTATATGCAGAAGATACCTTTGCAGTAGGTGTTCCGTGTGGAGGTTAGCACCTCAGAGCAGAACCGCTGCTGTTAGAGCACCTGATAATGCCTTGTCACACCTCATTAGCATAAAGACATGGTATGATGACACCTATCTCCCTTCTCTCTGGGATAGAAGATGTTTACAAGGGTGAGTTCACGGCTCTGTGGCGCGTGTGAATCTCTAAGTGTTGGACTTCAGTGCTGTTGGACGTCCTGTGTGACTTCCTGCACCTCGCGCCTGTATCACAGATGAGCCATCGCTACAGAGATGGCTTCAGTGAATGTGCCTGCGACACACGTGACACGTTATGCATTACAAATGTGCAGTAGCACTTCTATCAGGAGAACAATGCCATGCTAAGCTGGATTCACAGGGCTGATCAAGAGTTCTGCATATTTGCATTTGTAGCATGAGTTCCATCTACTGACTGCTGCTAGTAAGAAGTGTTAAGAAGCTACTGCTGAAGCCTGCTGAGATCTTAGTGTGATTATCCAGTGCAGCAATGACTTGAAATGTAAAATATATTCTTTAACACTTCATTTAAAAGCTACCTGCACTGAGATTTCCTAATACATTAATAAGTACTGAATTAACATATTTAAAATATATAAAATATATACAAATTGTTTGTGTCAGTATTTGCAAGATGATAAGATATTTTGTGTAGTAAATAAGATTGTATCAGTGAGGGAGAAATACATGGAAATTACTCTAGTTTGAGGGCATCAAAATCATTCATAGAATTGATATGTGGTGATCTTAACAGTGCCACCACTAGGGAATTGTGCTTCATAACAGTGTTATAAATGGTTCCTTTAGTTTGAGGGCCCGTACATCAATACAGTGTCATTTACTTCACACACACCTGGAGAAAACTAACATAACCTGTTCATAAATACTCAATATACTGCTTTGTAATTTTGTTATTCAATGCTTGTGCATGTATCCTGAGGTCCTTATATAGGCAGCCTTCAAATAAAGTATTGCTAAATAATCAAAATATCACAAAAGTTACAGCTACCGTGACTTTATAATAAGATGATTCAATATTAAATACTTTTCACTTGTAGCTCAATGAAACAAACAAGAAAACTGGTCAGAAATGCAACATTAGCTTTGTTTTTGTAATTAGAAGAGGAGATCTTTTACTATGATTTGTTATGCATATGGTCTTGTTTTGTGGAAAGAAAATTTTTTTTTGTTTTCTTGAGAGTGTGAACAAAAGCAAAAAAAAAACTCGTTCTGCTAGCGTACACGCTAAACACTTTAAAATGAGCTAAACAACAAATAAACAAACAATACTTGCACTGCCCTCTAAACATGTTCAAGCACTAAGTTAGAGGTTTTCATGAGTCCCATGATACGTCTCAATAAAGGCATTTAATGCTACCTTTTGATTAAACTCATTTGCCTCAATCCTGCCCACCCAATTCCCATTTTGCTTGTTGTGGCATAATTGTGAAATCTAACACCAGTGGAAAATGACAGTCACCTTAAATAATTGTGATCATCTCAAATAACTGTGATCAGGAGATGAAGTAAAACTTGTGACAGGCTCAGTTATTACTTGATATTGGAAAGTATACAAAAAGTCAAAAGAGCAGAGTCAAAGTTGTTGATCCAGGATGTAAATGTAGTTTCTTGCGTAACTCATTAATTAAATATGTGTGTAATAAGAAATTAAGTGAGTTTCACATAAAAACACAGGTAAAAACATGCCTGCAATCTGCACATCAATTCTGATCATCGTATGAGCCAGACAGAAGTTTGAATACCTCAACCCACTGCACTACGGCAGAAAAGTGCATGGTTTTTGCCTTTGTTCAACCCAACAGCTGTGAGGCGAATACAGCAGGCCGGGCCTCATTAAAACAGGGAGTGCTGGGGGGTGGGGAGCAGAAAGGAGGGGTTCAGGTCTGCAAATCTACTTCCTGTGAGAAACATCCTTGTCCATGATCTGTCCCCATTTGTACTCAGTAATGACCACTGTTAAACTTGCTACTTGACATTTGATGGCAGACTTACCCGGCACATGGAGACAGGAACACCTGTTACAGGCTTGCCTAAGCTCTGTGCCTCTTAAACAACAAGCATTGCTCTAGCTAATCCATGAGGCTCTTTCTCTGCATCAAGCTCTGGAGGCCGCAGCATTAACTTGTGATGCGAGGCGTCGCCTAATGAACGCAGCGCATAGCTTTAATCCCATTATCCAGTGGCCGCACTGACCTTTGACATCCAGCGCCCAGTCACCACACTATAATCTCTACCCCTTGCTTTTCCCTTTTTCCTGCCAGCCCGGCCTGATTGATTCTCTCTTTCCTCCTTTTGTCTCTGTCCCACGATCTGTAAAAGGGTAGCTTAATATAAACACAACAGGCGTGTTATTATGAGGACAACAGCCGCTAACGTTAGCATATGGCGTTGAAGCACTGGACTGTACAAGACAAGGAAGCAGGCCATAGTTTTGACTGTGGTATTGATTATCACCATATCTGATGGTCTCTTGCAAGGGTCAACGCCCTTGACTGCGTACACTTTAATTACCAAACAGGCTGTGATTGGAATATTGATTAGATCTGAATCTCTTGCATTAATTAAGCTGACCAAGCAATCAATTGTCTGAGATGACTGGTCTGGAGAGGAAAGATGCAGTAAGACCCTTTAACAAAACAAACACCTGGACACAATCAGTATACTGCAACATAATCTGGCATTTGTTTTAGGTAGGCCGTTTGCCTTTCAATCACAGATTTACTACAATGACTAACCTAAATATATACAGAACAGAATACTGCAAGTTATCATTTTTCTTTGGATGAAAAAAAAGCTGAGAAAAGTGCCATTTGTATTTTCCCAATCATTCATACAAGAGGTCCAACAACCCTCAACCTCTTTTCTGAGCTGCTTTCAGTTTTTAAAGCAGTTTTAGAGTTAGTTAATGTTGTGCACTGCTGCCACCTGCTGGACAGAAATATTTATTTACAACTGATGTGTTTTCCTTAAAGTGGCATTACTTTAAAAACACACACACACACACACTCGCCAGGCGAAGACATAGCAACATAATAATAATAATAATAATAATAAGAAGAAGAAGAAGAAGAAGAAGAAGAAAAAACATATTTGCACAACTCACCACCCAGAAAAGTGTTTCTTGAGCCAGGGCCTGATATTGGTCAATAGTAGACAGTACACTGAGGATCAGGCAAGACAGTACAATCAGAAACCTGTAAAATAAAACAGACATCATTCATTAATTTGCAGACATATAACAAAACTGTACATAGACATTTGTTTAGTTTAGAAGTATGTAAAGCACAGCGAAACAAACAGAAAATTGATTACAATACACTGCAAAACCAACATCTTGGTAAAAGCATCTTAAATGAAGGCAATATACACCTATCAGGCATAACATTATGACCACCTCCTTGTTTCTACCCTCATTGTCCATTTTATCAGCTCCACTTACTAAATAGTGCACTTTGTAGTTTGTAGTTCTCAGTCCAGCAGTGACACTGAGGTGTTTAAAAACTCCAGCAGCACTGCTGTGTCTGATTCACTCAGACCAGCACAATACACACTAACACACCACCACCACATCAGTGTTACTGCAGTGCTGAGAATGATCCACCACCCAAATAGTACCTGCTCTGTGAGGGTCCATGGGGGTCCTGACCACTGAAGAACAGGGTAAAAAGGGGCTAACAAATATGCAGAGAAACAGGTGGACTAGAGTCTGTAACTGTAGAACTACAAAGTGCACCTATATAGTAAGTGGAGCTGATAAAATGGACAATGAGCGTAGAAACAAGAAGGTGGTCATAATGTTATGCCTGATCGGTGTATGTACCAATGTCTCACTGTAAGACTGTTGTAAGAACATTACAACATTATTAAGATTTAGGCAGTGTGTTCAGTGAATACAAAGTTAATGTTTTCTTTTAAACTATGTACGTTTAGTAGATTTGGAGAAATGTGTATGTGTAAATTGCATGGTAGAACATTTTGTAATGTCAGCTGTGTTTTGGAACCCTTCCCTGCACCGACAAATCTGATAATTGTGAGCATGTTGTAAGAGTATTCAAACCTGGATAAAGGAGAAGTCTTGTGAGGATGTAAGTGAATTATCTACTATTGTCATTTTATTTTCACCAGTATAATGTCAATTTTGCATCTGAGACCTAAACATTGAGGTGGACTTTCTTTTCAAGCCTGTGTCTGATGTTAATACATAAAGATGTATGTTGTCGTCTGAAAAACTCCTGTGAAATCCAACCAAAATTTCTGACTTTTAAACTGCTATTTCAAGATTTACAGGGTGATCTGCAGCAATGCACACACCATGTTTTAGCATGTTTTTTTTCACTCAGTAATGTTTCTCTGTTCAATTTCAAAAAATCATACATAGTGCACAACATGACAATATTTTATGGTTATCATGATCATTTTTGTTGTTGTGATACACAATATTTGAGCACATTGTAGACATTGTCAATACTCCAAGAGCACCGACCAGCTGCATGCTTCATACAAATGTCAGTCATGTTTAATTGGATTTAGTGCAGCACAGTATGTGTTCGTATCATTGTGTTCATGGTTCTTGATAGCAATTTCTAAGCGTGACACTACTAGCACAGTTTTTCTGTGTCAAAATATTGTGATACGTATTGTGTATCATAAATAATTTTTCCATATTACCCGCCCCAAGTGCAACTTGATAAATAAACTCGATAAATCTGAACTACTGTTACTCACTGCCACCATCTGCTACACTAAATATTCATTGTAAGCTTCTCTTACCTAATCCTACCCTCAACCACTACATAGGAAACAGCACAACGTAAAAGCAGTCTTGTGCAATAAGAAGAAAGATCTATTGAGTTAGAATTACAAATTCTCATACAATCACCTGGCCACAATACATGCATAAAATATTAAAGGCTGCCAAGAGCTGAATGTTATCCCAGACAGTCCTTTGCTTCTGGCAATTACCTGGCTTCAAACTCATTGCACATTATCTCACACATAAAACCTCAGTCTAGCTTGTGTTGTTTCCATCAACACTGGGGAAAAATATTTTTGTATTTCCTTCTTAACTCTTCTTAATTGCTATATAATGCAAGGCACCTGGCCCTGAGTGAGCTCAATTAACTGCCACCTGGGAAACTGGGTCCTGATCTACAAGCCCCAATTACGCATTTTCTGAGCAGAGACATCATCAGGGTTCATAAAGGCCAGAGATACATAAAAAGACCAAAGGCCACAGATAAAAAAAACTTGAATATCTTGAACTTGAACTGAAATAAATTAGAGGTTGAATTCCTAGTGGTGACATTTTACTGCTTTAAATGAGCAGCTCAGGGCGGTCAGGAGAATCTTGGGGAAGATGCATGATTAAACATAGTAATGCATAAACTAGCTTTGAACAGCAAAGAGGTCAACATCATGGCAGTGCCTAAAAGGCCTGGATCTTGGTTCTGAAATCCCCCCAGTACAGCACAGCCTCAGTCTCCACTGGGACTTGAACTAAAGCTTCACCTTCCAAGCTGAAGATGAAGGAAAGCCTTTCACTCAATAGGAATTGCAGCACCTGCAGGTCCCAAAACCATATTTGCTTGTATTGGCAGCAGCAACTAAGTTCAAAGACATTATAACTGTGCATTCTCAGACACTTCTGAAAAGGTGGTAGCTGCCATTCCTTATCTTAAGATTGTAGAGCCAGCTGAAACTTTCTTACTGGATTTGTTTAAGGTGCTCTACATTCTGAGCACACTATACCCCCTCGGAGCTTTGTGTTGCAGTTATGGCGGTAAACATGACTGAAATCTTTACCTCTGAGACAGACATTAAATTCAATGCAATAGCTTTCCATGCTGCTAGTAAGATGGTGCCTGGATACATTTACACTGAGAGATGGAGGCTCTTTGAGCATGTTAATAATGGAGTTCAAAGAATCAGAAGAAGTACACTCTCAGAACAAAGGCTCTATGTGCATATAGAGAATAACCCTATACAGGTATTGCAACACAGTTAAACACTGCAGTCCATCTGAGGAATACTATTTCATGCACTAGCACAGTGTTTCTGACTTGGCCAGAAGATGGCCCTACAGCAAAGAAGGCACTGAAACTTCATGCAGCCCAGCAGAGATCTGGTCCAACATCACTGACCACAGCAGTATCTAAACTCAGTCTCAGGGTCAGTGCTTTGACATGTCTCTAGCTAGAGTTCTAGATCTATTGGTCTGATCCTTTTCATTTGCTGTTTTCAAGATAACACCATCACGTAGTTCATCTGGCTGTAGACATGCTCACTCAGTTATAGCAGTTATTATCCACACAGTGCCTCAGATCCAACAACAGTCCTGAAGAATAATCCACTCTGGACTGTGAATCTCTATCAACTTTAACAGCTTAGTAAGGGTCAGAGGTAATAAGAAAAGATCTGCAGTCTTGCAATTATGTAGATTTCCTTTTAGTACATCAAACCAGGAACTTTCTTTGTTTTGCTGCTTATAGATAGTTGACAGCAAGCAGTATTTAACCAGCCACATCTTCAGATGCATCACATGACATTAAATCAGAGCTTAGTTTATGTGTTTGGACCTTGGTCTGCACCTGTATGTTGAACTAGGGAAAACCATGCACAAAAGTAGAAAAGGACTGCCCTCTTTCTTTTTTTTTACTTGTCATCTTATGTGTTTTTATTTCATTTTTACTCTTTTACCTCTTTTATTATTTTTTTCTTCCTTATTTTATATAACTCTTCTTATTATTTTTATATTTTAATTTCCTACTTGTGTTGTTTATGTGCGTGCTGATTTGATGTACAGCACTTTGGTCAACGCAAGTTGTTTTAAGAGTGCTTTATAAATAAAACTTACTTACATACTTACTTACTTACTTCACATGTTTAAGCCTTACACGTGGAGATCATTGTATCATTGGACTCTTTCAGCTTCATAAATACTTTGGAAAGGTTCAAGACCTTCCGGGACCAGTCAAGCACATCAACTCTGATAGAGATGTCATTGGAATCTTTAATGGAACCGATAAACATCAATGCTGTTATAGAGACGATTCTCTCAAATTGTGCATGTACTTGGAAATTCAATATGTTCCACTCATCCCATATAGGAGGGTTTGGGAAAGAATGGCTGGCAAGTAGAGTCTTTGCTCGTATGCACCACTAGATGGGGTTATTCATAGCCTTACAAATGATTTACTGCCTCCCTGAGGTCACTACACTGCCATTGTGAACAACAGACAACTAATGACTGTCTCAACCCATACTTCAGATCCTTTTGTTTGGACACTGAATACCTTACTCACAGGCAAGGTGGCTCTTTGGAGGTTTAGGAGCCCAACCTGTACAAGTTACAATGGTACAGAGTACAGAGTCTGACCAACACGTTCTGAGAGAGTTGGTGCAAACAATACTTATCTGCTCTGCAGTCTAATAGGAAATGTGAGTTCAGCCAACCCGACCTTTCACTAGGAAGTTCCGTTCTTCTGAAAAACTATGTATCTCAGACCTGTCAAAGAGCTGATATCACTTTTCCCTCTAAATAACTAAAGTAGGGATGATACTGTCAGGTCCTGGAGAGCTTTATACCACTGTGGAAAGTAGTGTTTTCCTTCCTCTATGACTGTGAATTCAACTGGTAACACTTCAGTATTAAGGGGCATTACAATACTCTTATGTCACACTGAAGCTTTACTAAAGTAGTAGGTGATAACTGACTGGTTGGTTATTAACATGTTAGCAGTAGGGTGAATTAAGCATTTTTAGAGCACTTGTAATGTTCTGATTAGGACTTATCAAGACAGCAGTTGGTAAGTAATCATTATTGCTAATTAGTTATAATAAGGTTTCATGAGGGTGTATTAATGGACACCTAAAATGTTATGCAAAAATCTTTATGTATGATAAACAAATGAACATGATCTGAAAAACGTTATCACCCTAGTTATCCCTTAATAATGTAGCATTTAGCAGCCAGCTAAATAATGACTACCGGCAAGTGCTCTGGAAAATGCTTAATTTCCCCAATTTACTGCTAAATATTGTAATAATAAACAGGTAGTTAATAATCAACTGCTGGCTTGGTAAGGCTTAATAAGCACATTACAAGGGCATTTTAATGTCCCCCTATACTGAAGTGTTACTATTCATTAGGGGTGCGGGAAAAAATCGATTCTTAGATGCATCGCGATGCAGACGT